TCTGCACACAGCTTGGGTGAGGCAGGGTCTCAGTGAATCAGCAGGGCATAGCAAAGAGCTATGGCTGATCCTCAGCCCTGCCCTAAGAGGTCCCGGGTCTCAGTGTCCTGCGGTAATCGCTGCAAGCCCCTCTGAGAGAAAGCTGCCCTCGAGTTCTGCCCGATGCCAGACAGTCCAGTTTCTCCCCGTATGCTTCTGGGTCCCCAGAGACTTGCCCACTACTGGAGTCAGAGCCGTTGGGAGCTTGTGTCTTCCTCCCAATTGAAAAAGACAACCATGTCCTCAGTTGCCAGCCCTTTCTGCGCATGCCTCCGTACCTCTGCACTTCACTTCCGCACCTCTTCTGAGTCTCAGTGTGCTTTTCTCTTTCCTTCTAGTTGTAGAATTTCCACTCAGCCAGCCTTCCTGTGGTTCTGGATGATGTCCGTTTGTCTTTTAGTTGTATTTTTGAAGTGATTGTGCGAGGCAGCAATTTCAGGTGTTTACCTATGCCGCCATCTTGGTTTCTCCACTGCAATGAACATTTTTGCAGGCATTTTAAAATATTTCCTTAGCAGAAATTCCTGAATATAAAACTGTTAAGTAAAAAGTATATATTTTTAGGCTTTTCTAAATAGAACTTGCCTGAGTCTTAATTTTTTCTTTAATATTACTTTTTTAATAAAATGAAGGAATTAAATTCTAAAATACAGTAATCAATTATTATCATGATCTTTGACCCATAAACTTTCTTTCACCAATATGTCACGATTTGAGGAGACTCGGGAATTGTTCAGACATCCTTTTCTTACAGGAAAACCGTCTCTTTCGAATGAATCAAGCAGCAGAACTATACTTGATTCAAATTATTGAAATGGGATCACTGGTTGGGATGGTCACATTTGACAGTTCGGCTACAATCCAAAATTATCTTACAAAAATAACTGATGAGAATTCTTACCAACACATCACTGCAAATCTGCCTCAAGTAGCTAATGGTGGAACTTCAATTTGCAATGGACTCAAAGAAGGATTCCAGGTAAATTTTTAAAAATGTTTCTCTAACCCAAATGGTGTTGAGTGACAACCCATGAACCCGGAGGTCATGGTTGGATTCTGGGGAAGGGGGGTGGGGGTTGTAGTCTCTATCCCCAGTAGGGGGCATGCAGAGGCAGCTAGTTGATGATTCTCTGTCATCATTGATGTTTCTATCTCTCTCTTGCTCTCCTTTCCCCTCTGAAATCAATTTTAAAAAAAACATATTTTTAAAATGCTTTTCTAAACATCATCTGTCATTTACCATGGCTTTTATTTTTGTCCAACCATCTTTGTACAAGGGTCAAGAACTCATTTAAAGATTTTTTTTTAAAGACTCTCCTAAGTCTGTTATTTAAAGCTGGAGCCTCTCTGAGTTGCTTTGGGAGTAGTTAAGTAAGGAAGGAAAGTTCAGTGTGTACACAATCACCATTATTTTATTGAGGAGCTCTTCATTTCTTTCTCACTCCTATCTCCCACACTCAGAATTTTTATGAGTAGAAAATAATGCTGTAAAGGAAATTGTGAAAGAAAAATAATAATAATATTTCTGTATTATGGAATAAAGAAAACCCAGTTCTTCAAATTAAATTGATATCTGACAATCACAAATATAGAGGTAGTTATTAAGCAGTATGGTACCAAACTCAAGACACACAGGTGGAAATTTAATGAAATAAAATTGTGAAATCAAAAATTAGAGTGGAGCCTCTGGTACTCATTTGCATTTCTTCCAACCTAAAGTTAGTCTATATTTAAGCCTATTTATTGTCATTCTTTAAGTCACAAAAATAGTAAAATGCTTTCTTTCACTGATCTTTTCACTGCCGTGGCTAAAATGTAGAAATTGTTACCCTTATCCAGACCACTAATTAATACCACTTCTTAGCTTTCTTCATGATGTCTATTTGTTGTAAAGCATATTAGTTTAAGAAGGCACTCATGCTCTGAATTCAGGCAAACCTGAAATTCTGGCTCTACTATTTATTAGCTAAATAACCTTGAAGTTACCCAACTCAGAAACTCTGTTTTCTCATCCAAGGAAATGTGGAAAATAATAGTACTTATCTCATTTAATTGTGGGAATTATGTAAGATAGATAAGTGCTCAAGAAAGAATTGCTATTATTATAATAACCATAATTCTTATTACATATAAACTGTCTATTCACTTCTAAAATATAACAGTACTATAAATGAAATGTGTCATAATGTTTGCACATATTGATTTACACATATTTTTCTTAATATATTTTTATATATATTTTTTGACCACAGAGTCTATTGCTGAATAGATCTGTCAAATCACATTCAAAGCTATAAATACCTTTTAATCACTTATGTAATGAAGTCATATCAACATATAAGCATTTTACTTACATAATCATTACAGTAATAATTAAAATTTATAGAGAACATAATTAACTACTAGAGGCCTGGTGAACAAAATTAGTGCACTGGGTGGGGGGAGTGTCTCTCACTCTGACCTGTGCCTTCTCTCAGTCCAGGAGCCCTCACTTCTTACCACCTGAGCTCCTCTCACTGCTTCCTTGCACTGCTGCAGAGGCGGGAGAGGCTCCCGCCACCATGGCTGCACTCGCCAGCTGTGAGCCCAGCTTCTGGCTGAGCAGCACTCTCCCATGGGAGCGCACTGACCGCCAGGGGGCATTGAGTGGCTGCCCCTTGGTGGTCAGTGTGCATCATAGTGACTAGTCTTGGTCGCTTAGGCTCTTATTATATAGATATTAAATGCTTTACATACATGATCTGATTTTACCTCATCATTACTTTTTTAGTTAGTTACCATTATTATGTCCATTTTGTACCTAAGGAAACTAAGGTTCAGGGTAATTAAATATCTTTTTCAAGATCATATAGTCAGTAATTGGCAAATCTAAGATTCAAAACCTGGTCTTCCTTACACCAAAGTCCAAAAAGTTAATCACTACACAGAGCTATTTATAGAACTCTATTATGTGTCAGAGAGAGAAAGAGGCAGAGAGCAAGAAAGAGAAACAGAGAGTGAGATTAACACTAGCTATTTAGCAAAAGGCCAAGCTGGAGTTTACTCTCAATGTGTCTGACCAAAGATCTTAGGCAATATGCTTGGTAGAAGTCAGGAAAAGATTTTTTTTAAAAAAAGCAATATTTGATGTATTTGTGAACTTCCTTCCCCATGGTAAGTCAATGTTTTCTTCCAGGAAAAAATGAGATTCTTCAATGATCAACTAACATGCCTAAAAGGCACACGTCATATCATTTAACCTTGCTCACCTGCCTTTAGCCATGAATTTGCAAGTGCTATCTAGTCTAGTCAGCAGCCTTCTAAAACTGCTTGGGTCATATACCTCCAACCCAAAAATCTCCTGGGATAATAACAGCTAACATTCACTGAGTACTTACTATGTGTTAAGCATTGTTCTAAGTGTTTTATTCTTCCTCTTTTCTGTAGTTTGACTATAACGAAAAGAAATAGAACTATTAATACCTTATCTCTGAAAGTAAACAAGAACATTGTACTCTTTTTCCATGCCAACTCAGCCTGGAGTGGCAATGCAAAACAATTTTCTTTGGCTGACTCTGATGCAAAGACCTGAAGACTTTTCTAAGATTAAATAACAAGTTTATTCTTAGTTTGAATTTATTTAGATATGATATTCTGTAACTAATAGTTTGGTTTTTCACTATCAGGCAATAATCCAAAGTAACCAGAGCACTTCTGGTTCTGAAATCATATTACTAACAGATGGGGAAGATGCTGAAATAAGCTCATGCTTCGAAGAGGTGAAGCAAAGTGGGGCGATCATCCACACCATTGCTCTGGGACCTTCTGCTGCCAAAGAACTGGAGACCCTGTCAAATATGACTGGTAAACCTTTAAAACACAGTTTGAATAGAAAATATAATACATTTTCAGTCTCTCCCATTCCAGAGGCTCTTTCTCCTTAAACTACAAAACTGCTAAAAAATTTCCTATCCTAAAATTTATCTTTGTTGCTCTCTTGTAATTGTCCTTCAAATTAATAGCTTTCCCTTTCACACCCTCACTTCTCTCCATTTCTACCTAGACTGAATTCTTCTAATATGAGTCAACATTTGCTGTCATTTACTCATTTCTCACCATTTTTTACCCATCTAAATTGAAAAGTTTTTCTAAATGGTTTCTAAAGACTTACTTAACTGCAATTCCAAAATTCTTCCTCAGTATCTGTCCTTGTTATCAGAGAAATGTGTGGATGGTCTTTTTATGTTGCTAGTGGGAGTGGCGATCTTGGAGTACTGTTGGAATAAGCATTTCTGGAGGCTCCCATAGGAGGATGAAATGTGATAGAAAGCTTTATTTTCATGGAATTATGTCTCTCAGTTTTCAAAGTCCCATTTCCCTAAGTCCAGTCCTGGAAGGGGTGCAGCTGGGGATTCAGCAGAGCTAGAAGCAAAGCCAGTGTCCACAGTTTCTGTTCCATGGTGGAGATAGGTCCGGTACAGCATTAGGCTGTGGGCCATGTGGGTGAATGCAGGGGAGCCAGGAGAGCATACCCCATGCAACAAGAGTCCCAAGAGTACACACAAGCAAGAGAGCAAAACTAAAGAGCAAACTTTTTTGTTTACAGCGGTTCTCAACCTGTGGGTCGCGACTCCTTTGGGGTTCAAACGACCCTTTCACAGGAGCCGCCTAAGACCATCGGAAAACACATATATAATTACATATTGTTTTTGTGATTAATCACTATGCTTTAATTATGTTCAATTTGTAACAATGAAATTGGGGGTAACCACAACATGAGGGTCACAGCATTAGGAAGGTTGAGAACCACTGATTTAGGAGATTATCTCAAATCTTCCCTCGCTTGCAATGGTTACCCCTACTTTGGCCAATGACCTGTTCCCAGGTGTGACTGACTGGAAAGTATCTTCCCTATGTCACCCAGACTTTACTGGGCATGACTCTATTCTCCACCCTGTTCAGTCTCTTCTGCCAGTGAGATGGATGGCTTCCCTGAAAAGTGTTACAACTCCAGCTTCCTGGCAAAGCTGCACAAATGAATGCCTATAATATTTGGCCTTCCCTTCTTTCCAGTTAATTAATAACTGGTTTAAGTTACAACAATATCATTCCTACAGATAGCCCTGTTTCATAGATAAAGAAATGGAAACTAGAGAATACAAGATTACGTTAGAGTCCTGATAATTCATTCTTGCCCTCTGCAACCTGTTCTTTTCCAACTCCTCACATCTAAGTAAATCTCTCTCTTCCTTAATTCCAGCATTATTTCTTTATCTATAATAATAAAAGTGTAATATGCTAATTAGACCAGACAGCTGAACAACCTTCCAGACATCATACCGGACGTCCTTCTGGATGTTCTACTGGACGTCCTTCCAGACACCCTACCGGATGAAGCCATAGCAGCAGGGGCCGAGGCAGAGGCAGTTAGGGGCAATGAGGCAGGCAGGCGAGCAGTTAAGGGCGATCAGGCAGGCACAGTGATTAGGGGTGATCAGGCAGGCAGGCAGAGTGGTTAGGGGCAATGAGGCAGGCAGGTGAGTGGTTAAGGGTGATCAGGCAGGCAAGCGAGTAGTTAGGGGTGATCAGGCGGACAGGCAAAGTGGTTAGGGGTGATGAGGCAGGCACAGTGGTTAGGGGTGATCAAGCTGGCATGCAGGCGAGTGATTAGGAGCCAGCAGTCCTGGATTGGGAGAGGGATGTCCGACTGCTGGTTTGGATCATGCCTAAACCGGCAGTTGGACATCCTCCGATATGTTCCAGATTGCGAGAGGGTGCAGGCTGGGCTTCGGTACCCTCTCTGTGCACGATTTTGTGCACCAGGCCTCTAGTTTTATTATAAATTGCTCTTTGATTCTCAATTGTCATTGTCTAATTTTTTTGGTATATCTTAGCTATAACTAAAAAATTAGCTGCTGATTCAAAAAAAAATGTCTTTGGGGGAAGAGGACATATAGGGGATAAATGGTGTTGGGAAAAAAATAAAATAAAAATAAATAAATAAAATGCAAAGGGAAAATGTTGTCTTAAATTTCATTCTTACAATATTATTTCATGATTAGATCAGCTTTACTAATGTGGCAGGCACTAACTATGTCTAATGATTGATATAAAAACAATAATATTTGGCAAAAAAAAATGGCAGCAGAGTAGGAGGATGCTGCACGGACATGCTCCCAGGAACAAGCTACAGTTACACCTGAAATACAGAAACACTTCCTGAATAATCAACGGAAAACTCACAGGAAAGAACCTGATACACAAGGACCAAACTTGGAGACTGCATAGAGACTGGTAGGAAGGGCGGAGGCGCGAAGGGGCTGGCCAGGCACCA